ATTTAGCAAACTACTACTGAGCCCATTCTAAGCGCTAAGCAGCCCAGTTTGTGTCCATCCCTTCAAAAGGTTAAGCCCCAGTCCAGAACACAACACGTAGCTGCTGAGCAGTGAAGGGCCTGAGAAGAGCTGCTTTCCAACTCCTGATTGTAGCAGCTTGCTGTCCTGTGAATCTGAATCCTGGGTCATACATGAGCCAATCTCCATCTATCAGTAGTGGCTTTCTGGGCCCTGATGGACAGTCTGTAACATGTTGCACTAACCTAAAGGCTGAGCATCTCTAACTGGTTAAGTCCTCTGGGGCCCCTAAGGCAGAAAAGTGGGCAATCTCCTCCTAGTTCTACTTAGAGCACCGGAAACCTGACGGAGGGTCACTAGGATTTGGAATTCAAAATGACAGTTTAGGATTTTCAGTTTGGATTACTGTTCAGGAAGGTGAGAAATAAGACCTCATGCTCCAAACAATTCCTTTTCTGGCCCCATCCCAGGGCTTTAAACCTTTCCCCAGCCCAGTTTCACCTGTTATGAGTTGTCTGATTGTCCAGATGCTGACTCAGTCACATAGAACATTCACAGGCCCGGCTCGGAATGCCCAAGCATTTCTGATACACACAATGTGTAGGGAAATCCAGAAAAAAACATCAACCAGGACTCAGCCGAGACTGTAAGAGGCTAGGTCATTTGTGGAAGAGATGAGAACCTCAGTTTGTCTGACTTGGAAGCCTAATTGCCCTGCACGACGCGAGCTGCCATTTCCAGGAAGGATGAGTGGATAGTGCTTCAGCCTCAAGTGGCTTTCTGATCTGCCCACTGGGTGCACACCTCCAGGAGCATGCACTGATGGAGGAATGCTGATGCAACTCCACTCAAGGTGTGCAAAAGCCAGTTTCCCAGCATGGTCACATCCTGCTGATAGGAAGCATTTCACCATGAATGGGCATATCTACCATACTGTTGAGATGGCATCTGTGTGTGCTGAGCTCAATGCCTGGCACAGAGGAAGTCATGATAAACGAGCACTACCACACTGGATTGCTGGTATCAAGTTCTGCCAAGGTAAAGCAGGGCAGTGCCTGGGTCGCTGCAAAAGGCATTATAAGCACAGAGGAAATGGAATTCCAGCCCAGTCACTGTCATGCCCGAGTTCTGCTTCAGGCGGCGCCAAGGCCAAGGGAAACCTGGAGTTCAGGTGGGTTGATCAGTGCCCAGCCCAGGGTCACAGGGTGCCTCAACCTGTTGGGCACAAGCAAGTAAGAGGGAGGCCTGAATAGCCCTCCCCACAACATCTCATTCACTGCCAAGGCTGGTGGCAGAGGCAACATGAAGCCACCTCGGGGTAGGACTCCGAGAGCTTGGTCTGGGGCCCAAGCCAGATGGGGCTGAGGCGAAGAGCAGAACCCAGGCCCATGTGCCCAGCAAGCTGTGCCAGCCCAGCCCATGCCAGCTCAGCCGAATTCGAGATATATCAGGAGAAGGGATCTGTTCTGAAAAACTCTCCCATTTCTGCATATTTGCATATTCTATTTTGGGGCTCTTCCTTTTTTCCCTTAGCTTCCTAGAAAAGTTCTCGTGATCAATTCCAGCTTCACCTCTGTTGAACTGAAAAAGCTCATTCTCAGTCAATCCTGTCTCGTCGGTTCCCACCTCTTTCCCCTGCCATCGCTGTCAAGGTTCCCTGCCTCAACGGCCTTCCACCGTCTTCAAGTCCTACAGTCTGGTTTTGATTTCACTGTTACATTTCCTCAAGGTCACCACAGCAGAAGCCACCAAGGTCAAGGTCAGGCCTTCTGTTATTAGCTCAGTGGCACCTGACACCGTGCCCTATTTCCTTCCATTCCCTCCGCCTTCCTGAGCCCTGTTCTCTCCCTCCCAGAAGCCACAGATCCTGCCTCTCTCCCATTTCCCACATCCACACTCTATTAATGGATTTCCTCTACTATTCCCTGAAAGTTAAATGACCGTCTTACATGATATAGGCCGTCTTCAATTTAAGACTTTTAGATTATCATCCCCAGCCCAGAAAAAAACATCACCTGGCTGTCCCATGGCACCTCATGTTCACTGTGTCCAAAATCAGTCTCCTAATCCCAATCCATATGCATCACCATCCTATCCACCCACGCACATTGTGGCTGCCTCCTCTCCCCCCCGCCACCCCCAGATCCAGTCCTTCTTTAACATCTCACATCCACCCTCTAGCTTCCCTACTGCAGCTCTAGGCAAGGCCCCCATCATGTGGCAACCACACCTCCTAGCTGGTCTCCCAACTTCAATTCCCACAATCCATCCTCCACACAGCTGTCTAATTTCACTCAACCTGCCCCTCACTTCTTGTCTGAAGCCCTCCAGGCGTGTCTCTGCCCTCAGGATAGACTCCAAACTCCACAACCAGGCTGGCCCTCTTCCTCTTCCACACTTTTAAGGCCCTTGGCAGCAGCAGAAAGAACAACAAATTTAGCTTAAGACCGCCTTGAGTTTCTAGGCCTATTTATCATGAGATTATAGACAAACTGTTCTTCAAATCTGGCCTTTACCATCTGTAGAAATAGCAGTATACCCACCTTTCCCAAACATGTGATACACATTCTAATTCCTGAAGTCTCTCTATCCATACTGCCATGCTGCTGGATCTACAATCCCAAAATCATGGCCACAGGATCCTCACAGGGCCCTGCATCCATCTCACACCCTATCCTTTACCATCTATTCACCACACAGCAGCCAGTGATCTTCCAGAAATGCAACTCTAATTCCCCCAACTGATGCAAACTTCACTGTCCCAGGGCAAGTCCAACTTGTCGGAGCCTGTCTTCAAATGGTCTAGCCCCTGACTACCCAGCCCCCTCAGTCCACACTGTCACATGGGCCCACAGGAGCCATGCTTTCTCCCTCTCATTCATTACAAGCATTCCCTTTTCCCTGGAATGTTCTCTTCCGTGTCCAATCTCTCATCCTTCATGTTTCAGTTTAGATTTCACTCTTTGCAAGAAGTTTTCCCTCACCGTCCTGTTCTCAGCCCAAGTCAGCTGTCCTGCCCATGAGTTCCCATGGCCTGGTACTGTTCTCAATAGACTTCCCTATAAGCACTCATTCACTTATCAAACAGGTCTGTGCAAGGAAGGTCTTGCCATGTTTATCTGGCACAGCCCAGAGGCTCAGTGTTTATTCAGGGTGATGGTTTGGCTTGCAAAGGGACAATGGTGAGGAAGGTACCCTTTGGGCCCATGGAAAGCCCCAGGTTCAGTGGGGGCAATTATGAAACTCAGCACATAACTATTTAAAACACGGCCACAGGAAACAGAATAGACTGGCTGAGACCCTGGATGCAAGAGCTGGCAAAGGGGAAATTGGGGGGGGGGTGCTCAATTGTGGAAAGCAGTGTAACAATAAGTACTTGGGGGTCAACTGCAGGGATAGGGCAGGATTACCCAAACCATGAGGGGTAGGGAGAATTAAGAAGCCCCAGTGCCTTTGAAGGCAGTCCTTGGGGACACAGAGAGCTGCCACAGAGTGGAAACCACCTCTAACAGGGCTGTATCATGTAGACAGGAAGGGCTGTGTCAGCCCCTTCTGACCAAAACAAGCCCATGAGAATACAACTGGTCTTTGTTCCCATTACAAGGAAGAGAGGCACTGGGTTCAAAGACAGGGCTTCCTGGCCTTTACCCCCAACCACAGGGAGATAGCAAGGTCTTGGGCAAACCACTGAGGCACAAACCAGTTAGGCACCAAGCAGCCCGTCTGCTTCCAATCTTTTCTGCCAACGCAACCCCGCTCAGGACTGACAGGGACATGAGTGGGGAGTTCAGACATTTTCTGGAGGAAGAAAAGAACAATGTGCCGCTGGGGCCCAATCTGGAATACTGAGTCCTTCCAAGCACTTCACTACCCCTGTGACTACTGAACTGGAGGTCATTCAGAGAAAAGGACAGAATGCTCTTTGTGGCCCCTCAGGGAACAGTTAAAAGGACAGAAGAGGCAGTAAACTCTGTCCTAGATGGGTGAATGGAATGTTTGCCAAAGGCTTGCAGCCAGGGCGGACCTGGGAGCTCCTTTCCACCCCACAATAAATCCCAGAAAAGCTACCCCATCACCACCTGAGGGAAAGGGGTTTTCCTAACAAAGTATTCAAGGCATGTGAGACCTCTTTGTTCAACTTGGACATGTGCGTGCGTGTGTGTGTGATGCCACAGGGACCTCATGCCAGGGAAAGGAGAGCACGTGCAGATGGAGCAACAGCTTGGGGGTTTGCGCCCTCTCTTCAATATTAAATCTGAGCCCCGCTCATATTGGTGGTGTTTAGCATTGTTATTTAACTGCTCTTGTCTTTACGCCTTTAGGACAGAGAAGAGGGTCCAGCCACTTGGCATGGCTCTGAGGCCCAGATGCTGGCATCTTTACAGGACAGACCTCAAAGAATACTTGGTGAGGATAGGCCAGGGGAGGGACAAGCAATCTTCTGGAAAGAAGCCTTTGAAACAAGGTGATATGGAAGGCAAGTTACCTCACTTGTCTTCAGGTCTCCCCAGCCTCTTCCCAGAACCTAGATATCTAAGTAGCATGCGCTTCTCCATGTTATGAGAGCAGTCACACTGAAGACTGGGCCAACAGTCCCATTCCAGCCTTGGGCACACCCCCTGCCCCTGAGAATGCCATGGCCCAAAGGATCCGAAGTTCCCAGAGCTACTGCTAAAAACTTCAATTGAAAATGAAAGTGAACATCACATAGCTGAAGCATCTTATGATCTCTGTCTAATTTCTCCATCCAGTGTCCAGAACCAGAGCTGGCAAACTCCCTGATACCACAGCACCAAGACCCCATGTTGATCCACTGCCTTTCTTGGCTCAGACCAGCCAGAAAGGGCATGCACTGGACAAAGCATAAAGAGGTGACCATCAGTAGGTGTATTAGGGAGAGGAGAGGTGTTGGCACTATCATCGGGGCCTCCCATGGACAGCAGCCTTTGCAGACTGTTAAGGGATGAGAAGAACTTGGGAATTTAGGGGGCTCCCCCGGCAAAGATGAGCTCCAGGGCCGCCTGGATGTCCCCTCCAGTGGCCTGCAGGGCCCGCAGGCTCAGCTCTTCATCATGGATGCCCATATCACGTAGCTGCTGCAGCTGGGGCTGCCACTGGCTCTGCAGAAAGACACAAAAGGCAGATGTTCTTAGTAAGCTCTTACAGTCGACTCAGTTAGGTCTAACCTTCCAGGGAATGAGAAGAAGGTGAGATTCCTATAGCAACATTTCTCAGAGTAAGTTCCCTAAGACAAAGCACTTTTAGGAAGGTTAAAAGATGAGCTTGAGTGTTTGGAAAAAAAATTCAAAGTTTTAAAACAAAAGAAAAGTCTTAGCACAAGAGTCAAAGGAGAAAGCACAAATTACTTATCATCATGTCAATTTTCCAAGTTACTTGTTTTTTTCTGCTCTACATGTATCTACACACACACCCTATACACTGCTGATGAATAATATTTTTAGTTGTTTCATCCTTTAACATGAATGTAGTAAAAAAATCTTATCCTCATCTACTCTCATCCAAATAACCAATTTTATTTGTTTCTTAGGGGAAATACATTTTTCATTCTCTTACATTTCCATTCTATACTCTTCCCATTCCTCTTTTTAAAAGGTAATCTGTCTATGGTTTCAGGCCAGAAAAGAACTCTTTAATAACTATAATATTCTATTCTACCTAAAATGCATCCTAATGATATTTAGTCTCATCTTGTACTATACAAACAATGCTGCAATGACTGATGTTATCTCTACACGGACATTGCTAGAAAAAATTCCTTGAAACTGCTAAGAATTTACCAACTAAAGCCCTTCTGTATTCTCTCTTCAGTACACTGCATGTTTACATCCTCCACCCATTCAGGGCTGCTGGTCCTACATTTCTAGGACTTCTACATATCCCGGAGACTTGTCCTTTTCAAATTTCTGCCAAAGACTTTCTCCCAGTTCATCAATATTAACCTTTAGATTTGCTTGTTCTTCTGTTTTGTTTGCCATTCTGAAATCTGCACCTTCATGAACTCAATTTCCATCCTGAGCAATTTACAGTCTCTGAAAACCCACTGGGGGGTAGCTTTGGTCAGTTCCGACTTAATGGCAGTGAGTTTCATAACTAATGATCACAAACACTTCTTGATGTATTTGTCAAGTGTCTAAATGCCTTGTCTGGTGAAGTGTGTCTTTCTATCTTTTGTTTTTGAAGTGTTGAAGTTTTCTATAAATGTAGAGATTAGTCCCTTCTCAGGTATGTTGCTGCCAAAAAAAGCTTTCCCAGACCATAGGTTCTCTTTCTTTTGAAGAAGTCTTTGGATGCACATTGTTGTTAATATGTGCTATCGAGCTGAGTACATCTCATAGAGACCCTGTGAGCAACAGACCTGAGCCCTGCCCTCTCCTGTGCCATGCTCATCACCTCCAACATACTTGTGCCCATTGTAGCAGTCACTGTGTCAATCCATCTTGTTGAGGGTTTCCTCTCTTCCACTTACCTTACACCTTTCCAAGATGTCATTTTTGAAGGACAAGTCCCTCCTAAAATCATGCCCAAAGTACGTGAAATGATGGTTCGCCATGTTTGCCTCTAAAGAGCACTCTGGCTGCACTTTTTCTAAGACAAATCTGTTTGTTCTTTTGGCAGTCCATAGGATATCCAGTGCTCTTCTCCAGTACCACAGTTCAAAGGCATTGATTCTTCTCTGTCATCCGTATTCATTGTCTAGCTCTCAGATGCATAACAAGTGACTGGAAAGACCATGGCTTGAATTGGGTGCACTTTACTCTATATTAACACCATTTCTCTTCAGGACTTTGGAGAGAGGTTCCTAAGAGAAGACTTTTCCCAAAACTATACAGATGTACATACTAGTTCATTTTTAAGGGGTTCCAATCATCCTGTTTATCTAACACTCCAACAACCAGCTCAGACATCTCTTCCTCAGATAAGCTTTTCCTGACCTAGGCCCACATCTTTGGCCTGGGTGGCCTTCTTGTTTTGCTGGTTCCCTGGTTCAGTAGCTTCCTATGTGCCTAAGGCATGGAAGAAAACTGTTTATCTTTAAGCTCCATATCAAGACATAGACCTGGATGTATACACCCAATGCTCAGTCAACATTTACAAAGTAAATTAATGAATGGCTCCTTTTCTAAAACTCCCAGGGTTTTCTAAGGCAGCCAGTGCCAGTCAATGGTGTCAGGCTGTGGATGTAAGATCTCTGGATGCAAAAGTGGAGGCCAGAGGGACAATTGCCATTGTTGGGGACATTCCTCACATGTCACACTGCCAGACCTCTGCTATACCTTGAGAGAAGCACACCAAATGAGAAGGGCTTTGAGAGCAGAAAAACACCTGGAATCCAATGCAACTAAGAAGTCTTATGGAAAATACCAAGTAGAGAAGACTGACCTGGAGGCTAGGCTGTCCAGAGGCCTGCAGAGCATGCTGCAGGGCTTGGCTGAAGAGATCATTGGTGATGGGCGTTCCTGA